TGAGTCCTAAGCCCCCGGGCTGGGGACGCGAACCACGGTTGACTACGTGGGAGTCCAGCAACATAGCCATTACGCCAACTGCTGGTTCCCCCAAATAAAATAATTCTTAAAAAAAAAAAAAAAATCCCTCCTGGGACCAGCAGTTAGCGTAATGGCTATGTCTCTGGAGTCCCACGTGGTCGACTGCAATTCGAGTCCCACCTGGTGGCTTAAAACTCAAGCCGGGCGCGTGTGTGCCCAAGATCCCGAGAAAAGAATGGAGGAGAAGGGATTGCAGGGTGGCCATCCTCCCTGATGGGTGATTTCTTGCTTTCTGTCTGTCTCTGTCTGGCGAGTGCGCACGCGCCCTATAGCAAAAACCTCTGGGAAAAAAAAATGCCCTTCTCTTGAATCTTTCAACTTAATGTCTACTCACTCAATGAGGTCAGTCTTCTCAAAAAAAAAAATAAATAAATAAAAAACAGTCCCTCCTAGTTATGCTGTCATCATTGTCCTCACTGGAACAGGTCCAAAAAGCTCAGTGTGAAATTCTTCCAGCATCCCTATTTCGCTGAATAATTATTACAAATAACTCTCTCACTAGTTAAGTATACAGACTTTTCTGTAGAGATGACCTATCCATGCTTTTTAAGTCCTTGCCTAATTCAAAGTTCCTAGAATCATTTGTTTGCCCTAGGAAAGCAAAGTGACATCTGTACACCCCTTTCTCCAGAACACTTCGCAGTTCCACTCACCTTCACGACTTGCTCATTGAGTCTGCTTTCTCTGAATTTTCCCTAACCGCCCCCCTAATTTTCCCGAAATTCGCAACCAGAAGTATACAATACTCCAAGCGTGGTGATAAAATTATTTCAGAGAAGCACTTGCGTTGTTAAAGCGTTCTAGCTACCACGGCATGCTGTTTCAGCGCCAGGCTCGATCACCTGCTACCGTGGCAGACTGTTTTAACTGAGTGGTGAGGACCAAAGACAGCAGCGCGCTCGCCCGGTGTAGCGCTGTCTCACTTACCACTTCCCGGTCACAGGATTCCCCCCGGGACTGAGGTATCCGCGGTGAAAATCTGATGGTTCCGATCCTCCGCTCCCCGGAGCCCAACTCCCCGCAATTCCTCCAGGGTTAGACCTTCCCCCGACCCCCCAGCGCAGGCTAAGGCCGGTTCTTCGTCATGTGACTTGCCAAATTCGGTCACGTGACGTGACAGCGCCTTCCATTCCGACTGGGGGGAGGAGCACTAATAAACCGAGGACCCTTGCTCCTCCAATACTCAAGTCCCAGCTACGCAGATCAGCAAGCGCTTCCGATAAGACCGCTACAGTTTTGGGCGCCGCCTTCTCCCGCCCAGGTCCTGAGAGGACACCGAAGCGCCCAGCATGCTCCGCCGGCCGCCCCCGCCATGATGGTTGGGGCCGGAAGCCACGCCCCCCCGCGCCCTCCGTAGCGCGAGCCCCGGAGTCCTGCCAGTGGGCCCCGGCGCTCCCAGGCCACTCCGCTCAGCTCGCACTTAGGAGATCTGGACCCTTTTCTTCATGGCGTCGCTGCTGTGCTGCGGGCCGAAGCTGGCCGCCTGCGGCATCGTCCTCAGCGCCTGGGGAGTGATCATGTTGGTGAGGGAACAGCCGGACGAGGACCGGAGAGGGGCCTGGGGCTCTGGGGTTGGACAGCAGGGAGTCTGGGGAGCTCCGGGTCGTGCAGCAGGCAGGCTAGAGGGACGAGCAGATTAACTGGCCGCTGGAGAAGACCACAGAACTGAGATTGGAAAATGGGGAACGGGAGCAAGGAGGGGGGTGGAGCCTGGAATGGGTAAATTTAGAGATCGGTTCCTGAGAAACGCTTTAGTTGAATGGAGGATAGGGGTGAAAGGGAGCGCTTGTTCCCGAAATGAGTGATTAGTCCATCTTTAACCAGGACGCCCAAGCTTCAAGAAAAAATGGTACGGAGAAGTGCTGGTTTTCCCGTCCCCTCTTCCGCCCTGTCCCGTGATAATGACACCTCTGGGAGGAGGATAATCTGGGTTCCTGGGAAAAACAAGTTGCTCACTATCCCTGTCCTTGCCCCCACCGGTGACCTCTCTCAATATAAGTACCCCCGCCCTTTCCAGGTGACTGAGTCCATGTCCAGCAGCAACCGTCTCTAACCCAGCCGGCTCTGATTGACCTCAGGCCCCGGTGTTGTGGCAACATTAGAAATGGGAGAGGTCACTGAGTTCAATGATCTACCCGTTCCCCTTTTTTTTTTTTTTTTCAGATAATGCTCGGAATATTTTTCAATGTGCATTCCGCTGTGTTAATTGAGGACGTTCCCTTCACGGAGAAAGATTTTGAGTAAGTAGTCAGGTGGAGGAGGTGTTTGAGAGGCTGAATACTTGGGACCTGGAGGTTAGGGAAGTGGGAAAGAGCTGCCCTCCTTAGAATGTAGTTTCTAGGGACCAGCAGTTAGCGTAATTGCTACGTCGTTGGACTCCTGCGTAGTCAACCGTGGTCCCAGTCCCGGACCAGGTGGCTTAAACACACCAGGTACATGTGCGTTCGTGCCCAAGATCCTGAGAGGAGAATGGAGAAGGGATTGCAACGTGGCCATCCCCACTGGGGGGTGATTTCTTGCTTTCTGTCTCTGTCTTTATGGCGAGTGCATGCACCCTATAGCAAAAACCTCCCCCAAAAAGGGGGAAAAATGTAGTTTTTTTTTTGTCTGGTTGGTTGGGGTTTTTTTGTTTTTTGTTGTTATTTTGCCTTAGAGAGAGACAGAGACAGTGAGAGGGAAAGTGAGAAATCGCCCTAAGAGGGAATGACTATACTGCAATCCCTTGTCCTCCATTCTCCTAGGATCTTAGGCACACACACTTGGCATGAGTTTCAAGCCACTGGGTCCAGGACTCGAACTGTGGTTAGCTGTGTAATGTAGCTGCTATGCTATGCTATCTGCTGGCCTCCTGAGGAGTGGTCTTTTTTTTTTTGGAGAGGTTTTAGCTATAGGGCGCGTGCGCTTGCCAGACAGAGACAGAGAGATATAAAGCAAGAAATCACACACACACACACCTGCAGAGGGGATGGCCACTCGGCAATCCCTTCTCCTCCATTCTCCTCTCAGGATCTTGGGCACGCAGGCACAGGTGCCCGGCGTGAGTTTAAGCCACCGGTCCGGGACTTGAACCGTGGTCGACTACGTGGGAGTCCAGCGACATAGCCATTACGCTAACTGCTGGTCTCTCCTACCCCCTCCCTTCCCAGGAGCGGTCTTTTGAGTCAGACCTCAAGAGACCATCCTAAATCCACCACTTTAGGTGAGGCCTCTATATGTGCCTAAGCCCACCTCTGCAAAGTGGGTATAATAGAACTCACCCACAGAGTGGTCAAGACTGAATGAGGCAATACACATAAAAACGCTAAGAATATTGCCTGGCAATGAGGAAGTGCCCAGTAAATGTTGGGTTCTATTAATGTTTGACAGTCGGCTTCCTCCTCACCCCCAGGAATGGCCCCAAGGACATCTACAACCTCTACGAGCAAGTCAGCTACAACTGTTTCATCGCAGCGGGCCTTTACCTCCTCCTTGGAGGCTTCTCTTTCTGCCAAGTTCGGCTCAATAAGCGCAAGGAGTACATGGTGCGCTAGAGCACGGTCCTGCTTCCCCTCTCCAGCTCCCTCCTCTATTTAAAGTCTCCCTACCCCGCACCCGGCTCGCGCCCCACCCATGCCGGCATCCCTGTGGGGCTGGGTTTCCCTGGCGAGACCGAATCCCTCTTCTCCATTCTCTGGCGTCCAATCCTGAAGCGTGGAGGGGCTCGGGCTGGCGGATTCCTGTCTCCAGCCCCCTCGCCTTGTCCGGAACCAATAAAGAAAAACTGCGCTCTCAAGCCTTGCCTCTGTGCTCGGGTGAGGGGGCGGGCCCGGGGCTAAGGCTGGAGGTCAGCCTCTGAGGTGGAGAGTCCCGACCCCTCGACGGAAGTGGAGTGAAGCCGGCCGGAAGTGAGGCGCCGTCGTCCACCTTCCCTCGGCGCGCGCTGGCAGCCTAAGACACCGCGGGGGGGTGAGGCGGGGAAAGGCCGGGCTC